GCTGAGGCAGGAGAATTGCTTGAACCCGGGAGGCGGAGGTTGCAGTGAGCCGAGATTGTGCCACTGCACTCCAGCCTGGGCAACAGAGCAAGACTCTCTTAAAAAAAAAAAAAGAAGAAGAAGAAGAAGAACAGCTTGGGCCAGGTACAGTGGCTCTTGTCTGTGATCCCTTTACTTTGAGAGGCCAACACCAGTGAATCTCTTGAGCCCGGGAATTCAAGAGCAGCCTGGGCAGCATGGTGAAACCCCATCGCTACAAAAATTACAAGAATTAACCAGGTATGGTGGCCACACCTGTAGTTCCAGCGACTTGGAAGGCTGAGGTGGGAGGATCCCCTGAGCCCTCGAGCTCAAGGCTGCAGTGAGCCGTGATCGCACCACTGCACTCCAGCCTGGGCGACAGAGGAAGACCCTGTCTCCAAAAAAAATAAAAGGGAAAAGTTCAGAAATAGGTTTTATTTTTATCAAGGAGGAAATTGTTCTACCAGAAGTTTTCCTTTGCCTCTTGCTACCCCAAACAAGATGGCTTCTATGAATGAGGGAGAAGTGGGTGAAGGATGTAAGACAGACAAGTTTGGGATTTGCCACAGAACTCCATCCATCCTCCTCCCAGACCCACTGTGCTTCCTGGAGGTACTCACCATTAACAGTTTGGGATATATCCTTCTGGATATTTTTCATTCCACTTATATACACATTGTAGAAGATAATTGGACACTTCTCTTTCTTCCACACAATCAGCATTGCAATTTTGCTGTGTTGTTCTCCTCTTATCTATGGAATCAAGAATAAATCCTGATTGCTATAAGCCAGAGATTAAAGGGGGACCTACAGTCCAGCTATAGCCAATGAAGTGTGATGAAAAATTAGCTGGAGGTTTGTAGGAAAAGATTCTTTGCTCTTAGAAAAGAGCTTAATAAATAAATAAATGAAAGAGCTATAGCAGGAAAAGACCAGTCCCTTTTCTTTGACTGGTCCCTGGAGTGTATGAATGTAATACCTGGAACTGTGGACACTATCTTGCAATTATGATGAGATCTAGTCAGAGGATGGCAAGGCAGAAGGATGGGGAGTACCTGAACCCTTGCTGATGAAGTCAAGCCTCTGAACACCAACCTTGGTGCTTCCCCATTTCTAGACTTACTGTTTTCTTGGGGGATTTCTGGACTGGGCACGGTGACTCACGCCTGTAATCCCAGCACTTTAGGAGGCCAAGGTGGGTGGATTACCTGAGGTCAAGAGTTCGAGACCAGCCTGACCAACATGGCGAAACCCCGTCTCAACTAAAAATACAAAAATTAGCCAGGCATGGTGTCACGCATCTGTAGTCCCAGCTATTTGAGAGGCTGAGACAAAGTGCTTGAACCCAGGAGGTGGAGATTGCAGTGAGCCAAGATCACACCACTGCACTCCAACCTGGGCAACAGAACGAGACTCTGTCTCAAAATTAAAAAAAAAAAAAAAATTATCGTGGGGATTTCTGTGCCAAAGTCTAAATCATCAATCTGATATGCATGTATAAGTTTGTTTCCTTTTTCATATAAGTAGGATTATAGCCATATACATTAAGACTGAATTCCATTGCAAATCCAAAATAGCAGTGATAGAAACAGACAGAAGGGCACTTCTCTCTCAAATAAATGAAGTCCGCAAACAGGCAGTCCAAGGCAGGCATGGCATTCCATGAGGCAGGAACTGTGCCTGCTTCTCTATCTTGTGGTTCCCTCATCTTCAACACAATATGTTGCTCAAGCAGCAGCCATCATATTCACATTCCAGCCAGCAGGAAGTGGTAAGGAGTCAAAAAAGGCACAGCCTTTCAGAAGACGCACACCTCTGCTTACATCACATTGGCAGAGCATAGTCAAATGGCCTCACTTAATTACATGGGAGTTTAGGAAATGTTTTTGTGATTTGTTTGTTTGTTTGTTTTGTTTTGTTTTTGAGATGGGGGTTCAATCTGTCACCCAGGTTGGAGTGCAGTGGCATGATCTCTGCTCACTGCGACCTCTGCCTCCCAGGTTCAAGTGATTCTCCTGCCTCAGCCTCCCAAGTAACTGGGACTACAAGCAGGCACCACCACGCCCAACTAATTTTTGTATTTTCAGTAGAGATGGGGTTTCACCATGTTAGCCAGGCTGGTCTCAAACTCATGGCCTCAATGATCCACCCGCCTCAGCCTCGCAGAGTGCTGGGATTATAGGCATGAGCCCCTGTGCCCAGCCAGGAAATGTATTGTATTCTAAATAGCCACATACCAGCTCGAAATCAGGGATTCTGTGTTTATGGAAGGAGGAAATAGACATTGAGGGACAAGGCAGAAAAAAAAAAAGAAGAAGGAAAGATGTTGAGAGACAACCAGCAATCAAGGGACAACCAGTAATCTCTGCTACAATGCCATACGTATTGGTTAATGTGCTTTTTTCACTCAATGTATACTGGCTTTCTATCCATGCCTTATTCTTATACATTTCCCTTGTTATTTTGGGGGTTATATTGTCCTTATTTTTCTATCTTCTTCAGATAGAAAACCCAGTCATTTATTTGAGAACTTTCTGATTTTCCAATTAAGCATTGAAAGCTATAAATTGCCTTCCAAGCACTGTTCTAGATGCATCCCACAAATTTTGGTATGTTGCACTTTTCATTATCATTCAGTTCAAAACATTTTCTAATTTCCCCTGTGCTTTTTTCTTATGCCCATAGGTTATTCCGAAGTATGTTAATTTCAAAATATTTGGGGGTTCTCTGTTTATTTCCGTTGCAAATTTGAGACTTGTTTACTAATTCAACATACGGTCCATCTCAATGCATGTTTCATGTGCACCTGAAAATACTATGTGTTCTGCCATTGTTGGGCATAATGTTCTAAATACCAGTTAGGTCAAAGAGGTTGATAATGCTGTTCAAGTCTTCTCTATACTTAGTGATTTTATGCCTACTTGTTTTATCAATTACTGAGAAAGGAGTGTTGTATGTGTCTGTTTCTCCTTCCAGTCGGTCAATTTTTCCTTTACCTTTTTGCTTTTCGTGGCTGTAACACTTTTCTATAGTATGGATGTACCATAACATATTTCACCCATTGAAGGGCATTTAAGGTTTGTGCAAATGTTTTGCCCTTCATAACAGTGTGACATTGAATATTTTTACATGTATAGAAGAGATTACCAAATTCAAATTTACTAGTCAAAGGGCACATACATTCTACATTTTGACAGACCCTGCCAAATTACCCTCCAAAGGGGCTGTTTTGTTTATATTCAGATGAATCGTGCCAAATTCCCTGCTTTGTGACCCACATGAAATATTACCAGTCTCTTCTCATTTGACCTTCTACCGGGGACAAGATGAGAGAAAGTAGGAAGGAAGGTGTCTCGTTGCTTATTTTGCATTTCCCTAATTATAACAAAGTTGAGCTGTATTCTGCTCAATGACTGTGCCCTTTAGCTGCCCAAAACCACAGTGAAGCTTTGAAATTACAGCTTTTAAGGGCTGCATTAAATTCTGAGCCTAGACTATTTCATTCTTTATTCTCTGCCGGGGGTAGAGGAGTGTGCTCTATTCCATTACCAGAGCCATTACCAGAGCCTTGGTATCCAGTTACTGATACTCTTGGTATCAGCCCAGAGTTCTGATTCCAGAACAGGAAATCTGGCATCAGCCAGGTCTGAATTTGAATCCCTCTGGCTCAGCCATTTGCCAGCTCTGTGACCTTAGGCAAGTAACTTGGCCTTTCTGAACCTTTGGACAGTCAGTTTTACAAAGGAAGATGACAAGCACTTTGCACAGGTGTTATATAGATTAGAAACTGAGTGTGTAAAGCACCTCTCACAGCACCTAGCACCTAGCAGGCATTAATAACAATTAAATTTTTTAATAGCCATTCACTGGCACTTGACACGTGCAGAGCACTGAGTTTTAAGCCCTTTTCCCAGGTTATTTCATTAATCCTCACAACAGTAAGAGATAACACTATGCTACAGATAAAAGATAACTAAGACTCAAAGATGTTAAGTAGGTTGTCCAAAGTCACAGAGTTAGTAAAAAACAGCGCTAAGGATTAAATCAGAAATGTCCAACTTCTAACTAAGCCTGCTTCCCAGGGTAGCTGGCTTATTTGACAGATCAGGAAGCTGAGGCCCAGGGAGATGAAACGACACATGGAATGAAGTGGTGAGTGAGAAGCAGCCGTTTGAAGAAATATCCCCCTTCCTTCTGCGTCTGGGTGACCAGCTGGAGAAGAGACTGGAGAGAGTGGAGGCAGGGACAGCCACCCAGCAGAGGAGGCAAGAGCATGGAAAATGTCTCTTTCAGCCAATTTTCCTGAGGAACCCTGGCCGAGGCTCAGGGCTGGGAATGGAAAGTGTGCAGGGAGGAGGCGCAGCCGCGTCCATCCGGAGAAACTGTCTGCAATGTCCTGCCGGGAGAGGCCAGGGGGAGGGGACTGCTGGGACCGTGGTGGGTGAAGGAGCAGGAAGGGCAGATCCGGGAGGATGAGGATCTGGCATCTGTCCAGGGCCAGGTCTCCTGGGAGAGGAGGGGCAGGCATTCCCCGAGCTCCCTGCTTCCTCCTTGGGCTCCCCGGCGCTGCCAACTCCTGCTGTGCCCTGCCCATGTATCTGGGCATCAGTCACTCCTGGAATGGAGATGCTGGCAAACTCAACTCTCTGGGGATGTGCACAGCTGACTCAGGGAGGGTGCGGTGGCCAGGAAGAAGGATTGATCCTATTCTCAGAGAACTTCACCAGGACTGGTCAAAATCTGAGAGCCATCAGCCACATCAAATGCATCCTGATCTCTATGACATCAGTGTGGTCCCTCTGCCTGGTAAATCTCCTCTCGCTACTCACAATGTCCATAATTCCACCATTATGGATATAACCAAGGCTCTTACTCAGTATGCAAAGGTATGGGCATACTAATTGTTAAAATATTTAAATGCTTTCCTAATAGTTGGTAATAACCCCTGCCCTGAGTGTCCTCCAAGTACCAGGCATAACACACCATCCAGGCCTTCCTCTGGAACCCTCCAGGGCCCCTTCCCTTAACAGCCATTAAAGGGGTAGTACCCCTTCCATGGCAGGGCCACCCAGGGCTGTGTGGATCATCAGTAAGTGATGGTCACAATCATTATTAATACTTTTCATATCACTCCTGGAAACAACCCTTTGGATCACAACTTCGTCTCCTGTTTAAAGGCAAATGGTAGAAATTTAGAGGTGAAGAGGCCCTGTGCAGTCTCTTCATCTTTTAGATGAGGAAACTAATGCCCAAGGAAAAGCAGAGACTTGCCCAAGGTCACACAGCCTGGCAGTGTAAAACAAGGCATTAGAACACAGGTCCCTGACTCCTGACACTTCCTTTACGTGCCAGTTTATCTGGCCCCCTACACACTGACCTTGAGCAGGTAATGGAAGGAAGTGATGGGGAGGAACCTGTCTCAAGGAAGAACCGAGAGCCAATCATTTGGCTCTTTACCTGGTCACTATAGTCATGGCAACAGTCTCCTTGGTCACTGTCTCCTTAGAGATAGTTGCCATGGCAACCACCACCCCAGGGCACCAACTTTTTGACATTCAAGAGCCTTAAGATAAACCCAGAAGCAAGTCTGTTCCATAGCACCGACCCAGATCAGAGCTCCGAGTAGGAAAGAGACTTGCCCAACATCACACAGCAAGCTGGCAGTGAAACCAAGCTTCCTGAGTCCCTTACCCAAGGCTCTTACAGCAGCCCCACCCTCTCTACAGCTGACACTGCCCCTCCCCCATCCATCCCCATTTTTCTGCCTGCTTTGGTGCTTCCCACATTCCTACAGCCCTCAGTCAGGATCTCCTTCCCACGGCATCTCACCCTTGGCTGCCTGTCAGCCAGCCAATCCTCCTGGGAACAGGCTGACATGAGCTTTGTGTAGGATTCATCACAGGGGTTTGCAACACTGGCTGAGGCTCCCTGAAGACCAAAGAGCCTTCAACATCCTTTGCCCTCCAAAGGAAATAATCTCCAATGGTGGAATTTCAAGCTCTATGCTCAGAACTGAGTATCTCTTTTTGAGTGGTCGGGCCCATCCACTGTGTAAGGCAGAAGTTGCTGCCCTGCTCTGAGTCTGATCCCCTGGTTTGTTTTTATCAAGTCCCTTTTCCTCTCTCGGACTCAGTATCCCCACAGAAGACAAGGGGATGAGGATACTGTTCTACAATCACCATCACCACCACCATCAGAAGACTGCCAGAGACCAGACGGAATCTAGTGTTTCAGTATAACCAAACAAGGAATGGCCATGGTTTAAAGAACTGGCCTACCTTCCTGCTATCTCCTTTGGGAAAAATGGAATCTCAGGATTTGAAGGATGTCCCAGGCACAGGGAAGATCTTGAGCAAAAACAGGGAGGCTGAAAAGAATCTAGGGAACCTGTGAGTACTTAGTGTGTTGAAGTGTAAGGATAAAGAGAAAGTAGGGCCTATAATCCCAGCACTTTGGGAGGCCAAGGCAGAAGGATCACTTGAGCTCAGGAGTTCAAGACCAGCCTGGGCAATATAGTGAGACCCCATATCTAAAAGAATATAAATAAACAAATAAACACAGAGAAAGTAGCCTAGCAGGACAAGCCAGAGAAGATTAAAAGGGATCAGTCACCAGTCCCAGGGCTAAGGACATTGCCCTGTGGGCCTCAGGGACTCACCAAAGGTGCTGAGGCACTCCCCTGCCTGGGTCTAACCTGTGCAATTCTGATACTGTGGGATGGAGGGTTTGGAGCTGCATAGGTTGACAGGCAAAAGAGAGCAAGGAGCACTGCAGGAAATCATCCACTCATCCATTCATTTGATGAATATTTATTAAATGCAACCCAAGCTGTGTGACCTTGGGCAAGTTATTTAGCCTGTCTGTACCTCAAAGTCCTCATGTGTATAATGAGGATGATGGAGATGTCTGCCCCATACGATGGTGTGAGGATCAAGTGAGTTTGTAAATGTTCAGTGCAGTGCATGGGAGGCAAATCAGTACCCCATGGATGTGTGTTATAATTATAATGATTACTGAACATCTACTATGTGCTGAGCACTCTCTAGACAGTAGAAGTACTGGGTGAAGCTCAGTGTGAACACAGCATGCATAATTTCTGCCCTCAAGTTCACAGTCTCGTAGAAAAGACAAACCAAAAAAGACAACGTTATTAAAATAATAAAAAGAGGCTGGGCGCAATGGCTCATACCTGTAATCCCAGCACTTTGGGAGGCTGAGGTGGGTGGATCACCTGAGGTCAGGAGTTTGAGACCAGCCTGACCAACATGGTGGAACCCC